GGTTCCTCCGTCGCCACTCCGGGCTCCTCCACCCCACCCCCTCCGACGGGCTCCAACGGCTCTCTCCGTCCATTCCCTCGCCCCCGCACTGGCCATCGAGCTCCAGGCCGACTCCAACAGGTAGCTGTTTGTGCTATTTAGCTGATTTTTTTATGTACTGTGTGAAATTGAATGATGTGTGTACTGTCCCATTTGACAGAATTGTTGCTGATTGGGCTGCGTGGTTGTGCAATTTGACAAGATTTGAGTGTTGTGCATTTGCAAGTGCCGTGCAATGGGAGAAATTGACAATGGGATGCCTCAAATTGGCAAGAGGTTTAGAAATCCGGATGAAGCTTGGCTGTTTTGGGTTGCATATGGAGGCCGTGTTGGGTTTGATGTGAGGAAGAGAAACAAGCATGTAAGTAAGATGGATGGTCAAGTGACTTCATGCACATTTGTTTGCTCCAATGAGGGTATACGAAAGAAAGGGATAACAATGGATCATGAGCCAAAACGTGTTCGAGCTGAAACAAGGACAAATTGCAAAGCTCGCATGACTATATCATTGGACCGAGTGCAAAGAAATTACGAAGTCACAGATATTGTGTTGGAACACAATCATTGTCTTCAATTGCCACAAACATGTCACTTGATGGCATCACAAAGGAAGATTTCCGAACTACAAGCTTTTGAAATAGAAGCTGCCGAGGATTCAGGAATAATGCCCCAAGCTGCACATGAGTTTGCTTGTCGCCAAGTTGGTGGACCATTGAACCTGGGCTACACTTGTCGTGATCAAAAGAATTATTTGCGAACCAAGCGACAAAGAGAGTTGGCTTACGGTCAGGCTGGTAGTATGTTGAAGTATTTTCATAACAAAATGATCGAAAACCCATCTTTCCAATATGCTTTGCAGCTGGATTGTGAGGAAGATATAGCCAACATATTTTGGGCTGATGCTAAAATGCTTCTTGACTATGCACACTTTGGTGACGTTGTCACATTTGATACAACTTTTGGCACAAACAAAGAATATAGGCCATTTGGTGTTTTTCTTGGGCCCAATCAGTTTAGAGAAACCACCATTTTTGGCGCGGCATTGCTATTTGATGAAACATTTGAGTCATTTAAAGTTGCCCCGTCAAAAAAAAAGGGAGCAAAGGTATGTTCCAAACTATACATGATATATTGTTGCCACTCGTTGTAAACTAAATTCTGAAACTTTCATGGCAGCAGCAAAAGAAAAATGATGGTGGACAGCCTCAAGTGAGAGTGGAGAAGGATGATGGTGGACAGCGTCAAGTGAGAGTGGAGAAGGATGATGGCGATAAAAGAGCAAATGTGGAGCTTGAAGAGAGCAACACGGTTGTCAGTTACACGCAGCTCTTGATGACTCCCCTTGGTGGTGTTTATGATGAAAATCTGTTCTAACGTGTACAAGCTTGTTAGATAGTATTTTGGACATTTTGACTAGTATTTTGGACAAAGATGACTATAGTATTTTGGATTTTGGGCTGACTATAGTCTTTCGTGGCCTAAGTGTACAAGTAGACTGGCCTAATTTATCTACTTGAAGAATTATGTAAGAACAGATTTTGTTGGTGCCGAATTTGAGTTGCAAATGCTACAAAGTCTGTATATTGTTCAAGTCATTTTGAGTTTACTTTTTAATTCATTGTATAATGTATGCCTCAGGTTCAACTCTTCTTTTTTCAGTTCCTTTTCCAGTACTAAAGTCTTTGTATCAAACACTTTTCTGCTGCAGGCTTTCTACACTGAATTTGTTCTCTGTCTGTAGTTTAACTGAATTTCGTATCTGTCTATAGTTGTGTGTAGTTAACTGAATTTGTTCTCCCTCTGCCGGCTGCCAGCTCCAGGACATCCGTCATGGTCGGAGGTAGCATAGAAGGACGTCGGAGGGGGACATGCCTCATCCCCCTTTCCCGCAGCGCGCTGAGGACCTCCCTCCCTTTCCGTTGAGGTGGTCGTCGGAGCTGAGGTGGGTGGGGCGCCGTCGCAGTGGGGACGAGGAGCTCGTCGGAGCGGAGCGGGGCGGGGAGGTGAAGGCGTGGGGGCGGAAGGGATTGCCGGCGTCGTTTATCCGGTGGCCGCCGCCGGATCTCCCATGGCTCCCTTCCCCACGGCGGCGACAGCGGCAGAGCTCTGCGTCGGAGCCGAGTTCCCGCCCGCGAAGCCTGGAGCTGATTTTGCCTCGCGCGTGAGGAGGAGGACGGGGACCAGGTTGTTTCCGTGTTGACTGATTCTGACCGTCAGATGCAGATGGAGGGTGGATTGGGAGCCTCAAGGCAATGCGTGCCTTGCCTGAGGCGAGGCACTGGATCTCAGTCCCCTTTCTCCTCGGTCCACAAAAAAATATGTAAGACCGGTGCCCACAATTCATCACGGAAGAAAGAATCACAGAACTGGGATCGATAACTAATAGTACTACTAACTACTCCGTCCATTCGGAATTACTTGTAACAGATGGATATATCTAGACATATTTTAGTTCTAGATACATCCATTTCCGAGACAAGTAATTCCGAACGAAGGGAGTAATACGGATCGATAACTAATAGTACTACTACTAACTAATACTAATGTATAAATTGTCAAAAAAACTAATACTAATATATAGAAATGGATATCTAGAAATAGAAACAAACTAATATATAGATATTGACATATTCACGTATAAATGTAGGACGCCGATAACGCCCACACGTGTGGGCCCACACACATCTTTTTTTTCTCGCGGTCCCTCTTACACGCCTACGTGTAGGCAAAATGGATAACGCCCACACGACCTCTCTCAGCCATCTACCTCACGGTCCCGCACGCCCCGCGTGACAGTCACCATGCGTCCCCGCAGTTGCCATTGTCCGGACCCTCTTCAATGTCCGTTTAACTGCAGTTGACATGTCGCTGAACTACAGTTGCCATGTTGGACAACTACAGTTGCCATGGTTGCTCAACTGCAGTTGCCATGTATGGTCTGGTCTACTGCAGTTGCCATGATTGCAAAACTTTAGGAGTTGCCACCTACTAACACTAGGCAGTTGCCATGTATGGTCTGGTCTACTGAAGTTGCCATGATTTCAAAACTTCAGGAGTTGCCACCTACTAACACTAGGCAGTTGCCATGTAGCACTACAAAAAAGGCATGGCAAAAAAACATATTCGGGTAAAAGAGAGAGCTGTCATGTGCTCACAAGCACGCTAGGGCAGTTGCCATGTAAAAGAAAGAGTTGCCATCTGCTTATGTGCACGCTAGGGCAGTTGTCATGTACCATGCAAAAACACATGGCAACTCGGGTAAAAGAGAGTTGCCATCTGCTTACAAGCAAAGCTAGGGCAGTTGCCATGTACCCTGCAGAAACACATGGCAACTGACAGCTTTGGGTGTGGGCGAGGAGACAGGCGTGTGGGCGAAGTGATAAACGCCCACACACCAGCCCCTCTGCGTGCGTGAAAACTGGTGTGTGGGCGAATTGCTAAACGCCCACACACCAGCCCCCCGTGTAGTGAAAAAGGACATGTGGGCGACCGGATGAATGCCCACACACCAGCCCAGTCCTACGCGACACACAAAAACTGCTAGAACGCGCCAAGTTTTGTGCATAATTTGTTGGACGAGGATCCATGCGTGTGGGCGAGTTGCCAGACGCCCACACGTGTAGGCGTTAGTCTTTCCGTTATTGTCTAATCTCTTCTATCAAATCGGTTTTTTGGTTGCATTGCCTAGAGTATGCACTTCTACATGATATCAGAGCCAAGCAGTTTTGGAGCTACACCCCAGGCCCGGGGGGCCTGGGCCCGGGTCATGGCTGGAGTATCCTTCGTTGATTGTAGTGGTATTGTTACTGTTGGTCACTATACATTACTGTAGTAACGAAGGAGGCCCGGGGCCTAGGGCTAGCCTGGCTCCGCCCCTGGAGCCAAGAGGTCGTGAGTTCAAGACCTGACTGGCGCAATTAAATTGCACCCCACTTTTGAACTATGTTTAGTCCCAAGGGAGCCACATGTGAGGGTGAGTGTTGACATATAAATATATTGCCTAGTCTTTTCCATCAGATCGGTCTTTTGGTTGCATTGGCTAGAGCATACACTTCTACAAGCATTGGCTAGAGCATACATGTAACACCCACGATGCGGCTATATCTCCCACGTGTCGAAGCACGACTTAGAGGCATAACCGCATGGTGGTTTTGTCGCAAGAAGGATCATCTTCACACAATCCCATGTAATGAACAAGAATGGGATAAAGAGAGTTGGCTTACAATCGCCACTTCACACAATAC